CAGGTTTGTAACATGGAGACAATTCACCGCAAGGCTGAGTAGTGCTCCCAAGACAGTAGATGATGGTGCATCAGGAAAGAGGAACATATAACATAAAGCAGGGGAAGCAACCTCAGGTTTGTAACATGGAGACAATTCACTGCAAGGCTGCGTACCGCTCCCAAGACAGTAGATGAAGATGCATCAGGAAAGAGGAACATGTAACATAAAGCAGGGGAAGCAACACTTCTTTAATCTGTACCTTTCTCTAGCCACCTGCTCACTGCTTTTCCTGCCACCTTTCTGCCTGTGCTCTTTCCGTGTAATGATTGCATCCTCTTTCCCAATGCATGCCAGACCAGAATGCGTATCAAGTCTGATTTTTGGGCTGCTGATAGTCAAAGCCATTCTTTGCATATCAGCAGCATGGAGCGCAGTCCAAGATGTTTCTCAGCACAGATGACTATAAACCTATCCGTTTGGGAACTGGTTTCTGATGACCAGAAACAAAGAGCACCAAACATGCTTGTAATTGGAATCGCAGCCAGCAGAGACGCAAAAGAACAAAAACACACACAAATATTTTTTTTTCCAAGGGGAACACAGGGTCAGATTGTAGCGTGACCTGCTGCTGCTGTTTCATGCTGGTTTCCTACAGAGAAAGCATGGCTTTATCATTCCCACTGATTACGCAGCTGAAGATAAAGATGACTCCCAGATTACCATTTTGTTGTCCCTGTGAGACTGTCAACAGCACACAAGCCAAGCGCAGACATGGGAGACAGCCTGTCTTACTACAACTTAATCGCTTTGAGAACCTCAGTAGGGTTTTTTTACAGTGCCATAAGCATGCTGAAGAGAATAGAAGAAGGGATAGCACAGGTAATTCTGTCTTTGAAGTAAAAGATTATTCTAAAAAGGGTGAGAAAATAAAGAATCTTACAGTCAGTTAAGTAGCAATCTTGGTTTCTTATGGTTTTAGGCACCCCCCGCCCCCCCCAATCCTCTTATCACAATAGCCCCAGTTTCTAATTCCATGAGTTTTATTACCGCAAACGAACTTGATGGCAAATGCTGTATAATACCTGACTTCTTTCTGCCAGTTATTTAGGGGTGTGTGTTGGGCGGGGGGCAGGAATTTGACATCTCTTTGTTGCTCAGCTAGTGCTTTCCAGAGAACCTTGGGAATTCAGTGATTTGGGGGATTTCAGCTTCTGTCAGAGTGAAATTGTTAAAGGACTAAAAAGTTCCTAGCTGAGGGGGAGGTAGAAAAACAGTGAGATCCCACAAGCCTTATTTTTTAGAAACAGGGCCAAAATGAATCTTGTCTGTTCATATAGTCTGTCATCTACTCCAAGAGAAGTAGATCCTCCATGCAAAGGATTTTTTCCTCAGCCTACCTGAACCTTCTTGCAAAGGATCTAAATACATTGGGGAGATCCAGAAATGTGCACTCTTCCCCATGTGTGAGGCCCTTTGAGCTACAGGGGGAAGAGAAGATGGAGGGAAACCCACTGTTAAAAATTCCAAATTCAATTGCTACGCAGTTTGTGTTGTCTATTCTTTGCTGTTCTGCACAGAAAGAGAAGTGCTGCATTTCACATACCTGACGCTTGGATTCTAAAGTTGCTTTTGCAATTAAATGTACTGATGACTTTCTTGGGAGTAGTTGTTATTCTAATGTCTAGGGAAATGTAACTGTGACCTTCCTTCATCCCATTTTAGGCCTCCATCTCATGCTGCAAAGGCAGAACCTTTTGCTTAGCGAGAAACATTATTTTTCTGAATTACAATCCATGATGAATGTGTGAGGAGTGAGCATAGCGAATGCCCTGTACAAAATTAAATAGATGGGCTTCCTCATTCCCTTTTTTCTTCAGTGATGAATCCTTGGTACTTGCCAGTCTGCATTTCTTATTTCTCTTCCAGGAACTGGATTATCAGAAGAGACGCATGCGGGAATCGGGAGACAGGTTTGTTCCTGTCATGAGCGATTTCATCACTGTGGCAAGTTTCAGCTTCTCAGAGTTAGAAGACCTTCTGAACGAGGCTAGAGACAAGGTACGAATACCTTTTGAAGCATCTGGGGTTTCACTGACCAAATCAAAAGCATCAATCAAAATGGAAACAACAGTTTTAGAGGCTAGGACTGTAGTAAAAACTATAGTAGACCCAGAAAGTGTTTTAAGATGAAGATTCTGTCTTTTCCTTATCTGTTCTATCTATGAATTTAGCAGTTTAGACTATGTCTTAAGGTTAAAAGAAGGTTCGGTGCTCTTGCCCATTTTCCTAACATTATCGGTGTGGGGAATAGAACTGTGATGGTGTTTTATGGGTGAGAGTATGGTTCCTGTGAAAGGAACTGCCTTTTAAACAAGTCACTGAAAAGAATTCCCATAGTTATTGGTGATAGTGACCTGGTACCTTTTATCTTCTGCTGACTTAATGCCACTCTGTGTATTCACCTGGGAACATTTGTGCTTCATTGTTCCCTTTAAAAAATGATTTTTTTGGATTGTTTGGTGACCCTGAACACCTGATCTTTTTCTGATAACTCTTGTCTGTTACTGCTTGTGTTTCATTGCATGGGAGGAGATCCTAAGCATTCATGGGGGGTCATGTGTTCTAGTAGCCTTCTCGTACAACAAGAACCACATGTGTGTTGCTTTTCAGGTGCTATTGAGATTATTTGGCATTTTTTTATACAAAAAATAGTAAGAAAGGTGCAGGCAGTGAAGGAGTTGCATGTTCTCTACTGATGATTTCGAAGCTGACATTAATGCCTCTGTCTTTCAATTGGATGAAGAGGAATTTATTTGGAAAGATTGTACAGATATAAAAAGGTTAAAGGAGAACAAGTTCTAAAGCAAACAATATGTAGTGGCAAATCTGGCCTTTATGGCTGGCATGTTGAAAGTAGTTGGCTTTATGAAACAAATGGGCTATTTCTTTTGGAATGGGTTGTTTCTGCTGCTGGTTTCAGTCCCTGCAGGGAGACATAAACGGTGGTAAGGGACCTATTGCTTTATTAATCAAACCTCTGCCCTTGTGTTAGGAGGCTGTAGATTTTGAAGGATCAGCAAAATGCTACCTGAGGATCTGGACAGTCAGACTCCTCACTCAGTGACTCTGGTGTAATGCTGTTCTGTGACTTCTTGCTGTAGAGATTATGTGGGTAACATTGACGTGCTGCCTCAAACACCAAGAGCCTCTGGGCCTCAGCAAGAACTAGCTACCTTGGAAAATGCCAGCAGGGGAGTAATTTTTACAGCACTTGGAAGATAAAGCAGGGCAGTCCAACACTCATTAATGTTCCAAGAAACTTTGTGGAGAATAATGTGCCTGGTGTTTTTCATTGTTGACATGTTGTTTGAGAATATTCAAACCACTTGCAAGATAATAATGTGCACACCATATTGGCTTTGTGATCATAAGAACAGTATTTTGCATTCCGTGCTTCCACTTCTAAGGCTATCTGAATTTACTGAGAAAAGCTCTGTTTTCTATGGTTTGTGGGCCTCTTTTATGACTAGGTACATTTTTCAACTTAATCATATTTAGGTTTGTGTTTCTTTAAGAGCGTTCCCTGTGTCCTTGGCTTAGACTCCCCTGTTTTGTTTTGATGTTACAGATAGTGATGGACCTTTCTTTTGGCATACTAGGACTAAATCTCAGTGTGGTTTATTTACAAGGTCAGTCATGGGTTAAAATGAGAAAATTATATATGTCCAGAACAAAATTGCAACTTTCCTTGACCAGGAAAAGGCAGGAAAGATGCAGATCTTTTGCTTTAAGAATAACCAGAGAATCTCCCTGCAGGCAAACCAATATGTTGGAAGTTGTTGCACACTTTTTTAGACATTAGCCAACATAAAGCACTTGACAAAAAGAGATGTTTTATTTTAATGACTATAACATGCTTAGGAAACGTTTCTCTACCTTCTCCTCACACACCCCTACTATGTTTGAACATATGCCTTTCCAGCTCAACCTATGGCTTTGGTTCTTCCACTGGCAATGAACTGCTTTTGGACTCCTAAAAGGGAACTGTCTGTCCTTACCAGTGTTGAGCTGTTTCTCATGTTTGCCTTATATTATTTTTCCCCTCTCTTCTTCCTCTTTTTCTTAAAAAAGAAAAACTGGAAATTTTCAACAAACCAGATGTGCTTCTCAAAACCCATAACATCTTCCATTCTCAGTGGGCTCTCTGTGTTTGTTGAATCACAAGCTTTTATTTTTACCATGGAAACCTGCTACAGTCAAAGGAAGAGGGACACAGACATCTGATTATCATATTCTTTTTTTGATTTCTCAAAACAAAGCAAACTGAAAGAAGAAAAAGGTAGTGGGAAAGGGAGGGCTTTTAAAAATATCCTAATGAGCGCAGGAAGAATTGGTATGGTTCATGGATTTATTAATAATAATAATGAAGCTCTAGTTTTAACAGCTGGAGTTGAATATCTTTCTAAATATAGCTAATTGATTGCTATGAGTTAGTCAGGGCCATGTTTCCACAGCTGGGATTTAAAACAATACAAATTATCTTTTCAAACCTGTTTTTTTTAACCAAAAACAACAAAAAAAGTTTCTTTAGTGCTGAAAAAAAAAAAAAGCTTTTCGGTATTTAAGTTATGGAAACAATCTGTTACCAAAGTATGACCCTCTGTGTAGCGAGTATATTTTACAATTCTTTTCAACATTTATTATCAGATAGACCACTCAATCCCTGCTAATCAGCTCGGTAATGCCCACTGCCAACCCACCAGTAAAAGCTTTTCTCCTGTCATGTATGTGTGTGGAATACAAATATCCTCTTCCATCTTGGAAGGCAAACAACTCTTCCTTCTTAGAGATACGGCCATGGAGGAATCCCAAACCTCCTGTGCACGGTACCAGCCATGTCCCGAAACCCACTGGGCCACACTGGGGGTAGAGGCCCCCTGTAAGTCTGTTGGTGACATTGTTGTTTAAAGTTGGGACCTTTAATTTTGCACAAAACTTAATGGGGAGCTACTTCAGGATGATGGAGCAGATATAAAGTGCAGATTTCCCAATCGATATACATTAATCCAGGCTTCAGCTTATCACATCTAGTAGGGATAGAAGGGATTTGTCTTTTTGGCTTTTCTGCTTAAACAGGATGTTTACTATTGGTGGCTATGGGTAGGAAATTATATTTTAAAATTTTAAAAGGCCAGATTGTCTGATGCAAGCTTCTATGATTGCAGAGAAAACCTTGTAACTGTGCTTATCTACACGCAATAAACAGATGCTTGATTAAGAACTGCTTGAAAATTTAGATTGACTCTTTAAATAGGAACCCTGACACAGCTGATTCCTGATCTTTTTCTGGATTTTTCACTTTCAAAAGTTTTATAAAGGGATATATAAAGTCAAGGACAATGTTTTCTGCCATTTCTCGTTGGAAGAAGTGTCGGGAGAACGGGGAACACAGTGAAATTCTGCTCTGGAATCCTTCTTTTTTTTTGTTTTTACATGTTCAAATAGATGAAAATGGACTATTTTTCACAGCAAAAAGAGAATGGGGTTGAATTTTGTTTGTGAAAAATCTTTCTCTGAATTTCTATGGAGAAAAAATGAAAATGCCCAGGCCAAGGCAAAGGTTCCTCCTGTGGTGTGAAATTTATTTTCCCGCTTATAAGGTGACATTTAGCCCATAGGAAGCTTTACAGTATACTTAAATGTTGTCAGGTGTGAATTTACATCACTGTAGTGTTGTAAAACTGCTCTGCTTTGTGTGTGTTTGTGTGGTTTATAACAAACCCGTTTGTAAAACATTTTGGATCTTTCTGAAAGGACAGGATCTGCTTAGTCAGGTATTAACAACGCTATAACTATTGATGTTCACATCTTTGCTCCATGAAAATTGAACTTAAGCTTCTGTATTGAGCTTCTGTATGGTAGCACAACACAGGTGGACAGTTTGGGCAAGACTAATGAGGAGGTTAGGGAAGATATTATTCATTCCCAGTCTTTGCCATGACAGCCCCTCTTGGGCATAGAATTTATATTTATTGTGGGGACTGGAGATTAAAATCTGTGCATGCACTCAGTAAGTTTAGCACATACAATAATGTGCTAAATTAGCACATACAATAATGTTTTGAGGAACAACAAGATAGTGAAGACCAAAATCTGTTTTAAGAAAATAGTCCTTGATGATAGAATGCTATGAATTTATACCCCACTCAGGGTATAAATTACACACCTTTTGTGTACTGCATACTTATAAATGCAGTTGCTTTAGGCGAGGCTGGTATCCAACGTAATGCTATGAATTTATACCCCACTCAGGGGGTATAACTGCATACTTATAGGATACTTATAAATGCAGTTGCTTTAGGTGAGGCTGGTATCCAACGTATCAGAAATATTTATAGTACCTGTAACCTGGTTTTGGCTGCCAGAGTAGCTGCTGAATTCATGGGAAGATCCATAAAGAGCAGTTGGTCGCAAGGAGAAGTGGACCCAGCCCTGCCTGAAATCAGTAGGGCTCTTTCAATTAACTGATTTGAATCTGTCCTATGAAGAGAACAGACATTTATTTGAACTGCCTTAGTACAGGATTGTAGTCTCTGTAACGGAAATCTCAGGATTACTTATCTGGGGGAGATTGTTCGTGTTGCATGGCCACGTGTTGTAATTCCCTTTTTCACCGGCTCCTCCTCTGTGGCAGGCAGCAGAGGCAGCCGGGAGTTTTTATCGGGGCTGTTTTCCCTCCTGCTCATACAGTCCCGTCCGTGCTGTCTGCAGAGCTCTTCTGCCACTGTTTAACGTTTCATTGGCAAGAGCAGCAGCGAGTGTGCACACTGCTGCCCCGCTTTCCCTCTCCTTGCTGAAATGGCTTTTCAAAATAAACAACTGTCTAAACGATTTGCTTTGGCAAGAGGATGAATTCAGTGGAAAGTTTGGCAGAGGAAGGAGAGCTGGCACTGAGCTCGTGGACCTGTTATATCTTGGAGCTTGGGGGCCCTTATGGTGTGGAAATGAGTTTTTTAATGAAAAAAAGAGATACCATCCTGTATTGCAGTGGAAAACCAGCTGAAATGCAGTTTTCCATTTTGCTTTGCCCATGTCATCTGTCCCCAAATGACTTTAAGAAATAGGCAAGCTTCAGCTCTTGTTCCATGCTATTTCACCATGTTAGATAATTCTCAAAAATTTTGTGCTCCTATAAAAGTTTAGCTGTAGATTTCACAAGTGTGCACAAAAGCAGGTATTGTTGGATGGAGAATCGGCACTGGGAGCAGCTAAGTGATTTGTGCAGGGTCACACAAAAACCGTGGCAGAAGCCAGAGGAGCCGGCTGGGGCTCCGCCTGGGTCTGTGCCGTGCTGCTCTGCCTCCTGCGTGCTGAGCGAGGGGGGGAGCTCCAGGGAAGCTGCCTGCAGCCGCACGCCATCCCTCGGGCCAGCACCAGGACGTCGAAAACACACGCGCAAAAAAGAGAAGTAATAGAAGGAGAAGTAGTAATACAAACAGAAGAGAAAGAGAAGAAGTAACAAAAACAACGGGGCCTGTTGGAGTTTAATTTGGGAAAGGGCATGGCTTTTTTTGCAATAGTGCCTTGAATTGATGTAGTGCCCTACAGATGTGAACGACTGAATTCTTGCCATTTTTTCTATCAGATAAGTGGAGTAACGTAGACTGTTCTTTAACAAATGGAGAAACTGAGATCAAGGAACATGAGTTCCCAAGCTACACCATGGGCAGAGCTGGCAGCTGACGTTAGATCTCCTGACTTCCCTCCCTCTGCTTGGTCAGCTTTTTCTGGAGGGGGTAGACAAAGAATTAAAACGCTTTCTTCAGTGAACTGAAAACTTTTCATTTATAGCTATTTTTGTACTTTTAGCTCACTTTTAGATTTTTGCTTTGCACCTTCCAGTGGTTTACAATGGCTGACTGTGCTCTGCTGAGGCAGGTAGGAGGCACCAAAGCCAGCTGTCCTCAGGATGGGCCCTCCTTGCTGCTGCTCAGAGCCCACAGTAGGTGTTCACGGGCGCCTCTGGAAGGCTCCCAGGGGGCTGGGCCTTCCCGGCACAGCGGTCACTCCTCGTAGCAGCAGTGGGGACACAGTGGCAGAAGCACTTCTGCCTGTATGAGAAGAATAGTTCCTGGTAGCTGGGTAATAGGTGAAGTGCAGCATATGTGCACACAACACCACCCACTTATAGTGTAAAATTTTGGATGCTTCTTGAGGTATAATCCTGACGTAGGACCCATGAGGCAAAGACTCCCGACACTTCTGTCTCCGGCCTGCCCTCCGCCACAGGGACTTGGAAACACCTGTGGGCGTTCATGGGCTCCCCACACCTCCGTTCCTGCGTGCACCGTCTCTCTCGCATTTGCTGTGTACAGGATGGTGTGGGCTTGAGGAACCCTAGCAGCAGGAGCTATTTATCACGAGGTGGCAAACACATAGGCCAGCCTTGCTTCTAGCTGGTACCTCGTCATTGCTCTTAATTTGTGACTATTTTCAGTTCCCAGCAAAACACAGGAATAAGTCAAGTGGGGAGAGACTCCAGGTAATACATCTCCTATGCACAACACTGAGATTTAGGGGCTCCCTGCAGTTAGGAGCAGCAGTGCCTGGGCACTGCAGACATCTTTTTTCTGTGTCACTCTCCTTCCCTGACCAGCTGGCCTGCTGGAGCAGGCAAGCCAAGAAACAAATAGCACATGGAGATACATTATCACCCTCTGTGGCTTTGGCAGCCTGTCTTCCCACTGTTGAAGGGCTGGTGCCAGTCAGTGTGAATTACTGTGAGACTGCTGCAGTTTCCTTATATTTAAGCATACTGTATGCATACATATATGTATAGATTTGGGGAGAGATAGAGAATTAGGGAGAACGAGTGTGTGTGCATGTTCCTCTGTGTGTGTCTTCAGAGGTCTGAGAGAGAAGGAACCAGCACGGAGAAGACGTGTATTGCTGTTTTCATGCTCTGAACTCCCTCCATGACTTGCTTTAGTGCTTCCTTCAACTCCTGCCATGTTTGGTAGCTCAAAGCAACTTGCACTTCTTCCAACACTTTTTTTTTTCCAGATACTTTGAGTTTCTTTGTTTGTTTCTGGCTGAGAACGCAGCCTTTTTAAAGAAGGGGAAAAAAAGAGCTATTGCTTCAAACTGCTTTGTGGGCCTGGCAAGGAAAGCAGAGGAGGGGAGATGCTGAATGTCTCAGGCTGTGCCAGAAGGAAGCTGCTTTCCTTGGAGATTTCTTCCCCCTGCAGTTTATTGGGAGACATTGTTTATGCTTTACCTGGTACTGGGCCAAAGGGGTTTATAAGACCTGCTTCCAAATTCATTTTCTCCTTGGAAGCTGAGGCTGAATTGTTCTAAGTATCATTTCCATTCTGCAAGAGCACCCACCCAAGGAAAGGAAAGCTGGGCTGCGTTAGTACTGGTAGTCAGTAAATTGTGTTAGCTGAATACACACAACTGCATGGCAGTCCGTGCCTTGGTTTGTTTTAGTGAATGCTTTGTTTTAGGGGTTTTTTAGGGATGTTTTAGGAATGTTCTTAGGGATGTTCTGCTTGCCAGTGGCGGTGCGTGCAAGTGCTGGCGGAGTGTGCTAGGGCAGTTTTGCATCAGGGCACCGATGCCATGAGGAGTGTATTGCCAGTGCTGCCTGCTGTGACAGGTGTGAGAGGTGAGGGAGGCTGGACAGGTTGCTGGATGTATACGGTTATATAGAAGTTACGGATATGTGCATATATGGTGATGAAAGACTATATACACACGTCTTTGAGGCATTTCAGTGAGTACAGAGGGATATTTGTGAGTGTGTGAGAGCAAAGGAGAGTATGAGTACAAGTACTAATGTTCACCAGCCAGGGTTTGCTGTGATTTCACCATATCCAGATCAGGACTGCCCTGTGACTGAAGTCCTGCCAGTTGGCTGCCTCCACATGTATCCTGCAGCCTCAACATTTGCCTTTTAAAATAAAAGCCATTTGTGATGTATTCACTCTCTTTTAAGTCTGCCCGGGAGCCCTGACCGCTTTCCTTGCCCCTCTCTCATGCCATGTCTGTCCGTAGTTTCCTCTCCCTCCCAGGCAACAGAGGACTTCAGAGAGATGGATGACATAGCAAAAGCTCCTAGGAGGATGGGCTGTCACGCTATTTCAAAAGCTCTCTAACTCCAATCCTTCCAGCAATGGATTTCAGGAGAAAAGCAAAGAAGGGGGCGGAAGGGGAAATGATGAGCTAAAACTACCTGTTCAGTAGTTTTCTTCTGCCAGCTAGCTCACTGGATGTGTTGTTTTTCCCTCCCCTGCTGTCCCACGTTTGCAGCTGGTGTGGTCAGCATTGTCCTCTGAAGTCACTCTGTCATCTGCAGGCACTGGACAAGTATTTTTTCTGGCATCAGTAGATAATAGTGTTTTCCAACCCTGTGTTGCCCAAAGGGTACCCAGGAGTGCAGATTATTGAGAGAGGCATTTGCCTTAAGCAAGAGGGCAGGAAGGAGTTTTTACTCATCTCATGAGTGCACTGAGAGGTTTAAATTATATGTGTGGTTGCTCATAGGCTTTCCTTGCTGCCTTCCTAGACTGCCTGCCTAATTCTTGCTGTTATGTTTTCTGCTCCCTAACAGTACTCCAAGGCATTGAAGCATTTTGGAGAGAACGAGGGCAAGATGCAGCCGGATGAATTTTTTGGTATCTTCGATACTTTCTTACAGTCATTTGCAGAGGCCAAGCAAGACCTGGAGAATATGAGGAAGAAAAAAGAGGAGGAGGAGCGCAGGGCACGCATGGAGGCCATGGTGAGAACCCCCACATGGGAAGGAGTTTCATTTCATCATCTTGGTGCATCTCAAGAGAAAGATTGAGAGAGTCAGTTCCAGTGCTCATGTCCCATCCTGTTTGTTTCATATTCTTCTCCCCGCCATCTCACTTGGTCCTACTACTCACAAATGATAATATTTTCCTGCTAGCTGCCTTCTCAGACCTCAAGGGCATGCTGTTTGGCTCCCAAATTACCTCCTTTGGCTCTATGTACCCAACTCTGGCCTTGGGTTTTCTGCATTGTCACTCTGCAGGATGGTGCTACCCCTGCCCAGGGCCAGACTGTCCTCCTTTCAGGCTGCAGGCTCTGCACAAAAGCTCTTGGAGCCAGATTTCCCTCGGTACTGCCAGCTGGTCAGCTTCCACTCAGACTCTGTCGTCATCTGATCTGTGCCTGTCATCTGACAGCATATGGTGACACAGTGAATGCCCTGGCACCTGCTTCAACCTACACTAGCAATATCTCCCTCTGGAATGCCTTAATGCCTTGATTACTGAGTCTGCTTTTATCCTTGACGTGGTGAGAGAGCTTGTGTGCATCATTGATTTTGCTGCTGGGAGACTGATGTGGGTATCCCCAGGGATTCGTGTGAACCGGCCTCCCGCTCCAACCTCAGGCTTTCCCGAGGCCTGAGAACAGCTCCACATTCCTCTGCATCCTTCCACTCTGCCAGCACTTTAACCCCAGCAGCCACCGCTTCCCGAGGCTACGCGTAAGAGAACTGCTGCTTTAAACATTGGTTATTTCTAAAGCACTCTGTTCTGCGCTGTTCAGTAGAAGAGACAGGTAAAACGCTATGATGACAGCAGGGTTCTTGGAGCTGTTAGAGAAAGAGATAAAATGCCAGGACTTAGGCTCAAGTTTCATATCAGCTAGCCTAGAAAGCACAGAAACCCACTATAAAATCACTGAGATGATTTGGCAAGCCTGATGCATCGAGACAGTTTGCTTATGGAAAGAGTCTTCCTGCAGCTTGGAGCTAAGACACAGAATAAGCAACCTGCCTTTCAAAAGCCTTATTTGTGCCTTGACATCTCAACTAATCATGGTGCTGACCAGTGTGGGAGATAACCGAGCTCCCTCGTGCTGCAAGAGCCTCGCGCTGACAGATGGACCTGTTTGGTGACTTGTAAAATCAGTGGTGCTGCTCCCTTCCCAGGCTGCTTTCTTGCTGCCCATGTGGCACTAATAGTGCATTTGGACTGTTTCGTTGCTCTTTCCGTTCAAAGCCAGTTTCTTTTTCCGGATTCAAGGCAGCTTTCCTTCCTATTCTCATCACTGCAAGATGTTGCCCCCATCCAGATTGCAAGATGCTGCCTCCATCTAAACATGAGCTGTTTGGTGGACAGAGTTTGTTGATATTTTGATTTCTCACACACTTTTCATTCTCCATTTTGTTCAGCTTGCAGTCTCTGTTACAGCTGTTGGATTTTTTTTTCCTCTTTCTTTTCTTTCTTTTGCTGCATTGTGACCTTTCGCCCTGTCCAAATGTAGCTACTCCTGGCCTAAGTGGAAATCTGGTTGTATCTGTTGTTGTGACTGTGGTTTGTGCAGATGCATTCAAACTATCTTCAAACTCACTAGGTTAGCTACTGTTCACACAGTGGTTGCTGCTGCACAAAGGCTGTTGCAAGCCTGGCCCTAGAAGCTGGGTAATCACTTAAGCCAGCATCATTTGCAGAGTATGACTTTGTCCCAGTTAGTTTGCTGGCACTAGACCGCTGTAAAATTTGTTCAAAATAACTGCAGTGTAGACAGATCGTATGCATAATCCTTTGGATGTAGTGCTTTGTGAGGCAAACACAAGGCACTACTCATTCCTCATTTCTCCTGCTCTCTGCTTGCCTGTGCAGAAAAGGGGAAAGCCAGCAGGGCCTTCAAGTGCCCTTGTCATAGGTGATGGCCTTGCACGTAACTCCTGACCACCTTTCTCCTAAACCATACTGATACACCTATCTGTTCCTTGAGTACCTCTAGTGTCTTGTTTAGCTAATTCTAAAGTTCTGTGTCTTTCTCCGCAGCTAAAAGAGCAGAGGGAAAAAGAGAGGCGGCAAAAGAAAGCACAAGCAGGAAGTATCTCCGAGGAGAGCGGGGAGTTCGATGACCTGGTATCAGCATTGAGGTCAGGTGAAGTCTTTGACAAAGACTTATCCAAGCTCAAGCGCAACCGCAAACGTTCGGGGAACCAGGGCTTAGAGACAAGCCGGGAGCGGGTGGTGACAAAGCTAAATTATTAATTAGAAGAGGAAGAAAAATAATCAACCAAAAGAAGATGAAAAAAAAAAGTGCAAAACAAGCAAGATGAATGTGTGCAATGGCGCCTGGCTGACAGCTGCTCCGAAGGATTTCTTTGGCCTGCCTATGATCAGCTTTCTTCTCATGTCTCCTCTGTGCTCCTAATTTGAACCATTATAAAAGTGCCTCTATGGAGCCAGCAAGGCTTGTGGCTTGCCATTCAGAGCTAACAGGCTTGCTTCTGGGAGTTTTCTGTGTCATCAAAGGCCTTGTGGTGATGACAGAAAGTACTTGGGCCTTGTAGACTGCCTTGCAGCCAGAGAAAGATAATTTTCTGTGTGCCAAAGTGAAAAATAGCCATGTTCTCCATCTTGCTGATAAAAAGCAAGACATTAATTTCAGAGCAGCTCTGCAAACACACCTGTTGCTTCTTCAAAATCTATGCTGGCCTCAGGGGGTATGTCAAGAAGTGGTTCTTGGTGTTCCCAGTTCCCTCCCAGAACTGGATTTTACAGCAAGCCATCAATTAGAACCTGAAAAATGCTTTTGGTCTTATGCTTTATAATAGTTTTGTGTGGCCTACACTGCCCAAAGTAAGTGATAGTCAGAAGGAAGAAATCGGGAACAAATTGGAATTCAAGAATCAGAATCAACATAACATACTTTGCAAAAGTCTTTTGGATTCTGCATTTATAGAAGCCATTTTCTGGAATTTGTTGATGATTGAGCCTCACAGCGAAGAAACGCGTCTCCTAGGAAAGGAGCTCTGGCTTGCAGTTTAGAAAAGTAAGTCACTGCCTGTTTGGGGTTAGGTACAGAGGCCTGTGTAGCCTGTTGTCATTGCTTGAGGGTGAGAGGGAAACAGCCAAACATTTCTTACCTGTTTGTGCAACATTTCTTACTACAACCCAATGGAAACTGGGAGTTCACAGGTTACAGGCAGTGAAAATCAAATGAGGTCGCTTGCTGCAAGAACCTTCTCCTTCACCCGTTGCTTGCTGCGGTTGTCGTTGGGATGCAGTTTCCATCTAACAGGCTTCACTGCACACACCCTGCTCCAACCCAGGAGCATCGTGAAACTCAAAAAGATATGAATGGTGTCAAAGGAGAGCCTTGGAGCCCACACCTCCTTTCCTGTTTTTAAAGAGATTGCTCTGAAGATCACATATGCAAAACTGAGAGTTTTTCAGGAAGACACAATTGTATAAGCTGAGCAGGCTTTGGAGATGAGTTAGCTCAGAGGGAAAAAAAAGAAACTTATATTTAAACTACGCATATGAAGCACAGCCCAAAAAGCAAGGAACCACAAGAAGATGGGACTCACCTCTTTCACTAGATGTGCAGACTGTGTATCGTTAGTCAACAGCACAAAATGTCAGGGAATCCCAGGGAAGAGAAAAAAAAAAAAAAAAAGCTCCATTTGTCACTTTAATCGTTTGGTTTGTTATTTCTTCAAACGTCATTCAACCTGAGGTTCTGCACTGAATATGCAGAACAGAACTTGCTCTTCCATGCACACTGCCTAATCAGTATTACACGCTACCGATACCGGGGAAGCAAACTGTGGTGGTTTTCTGAACACTTTGAGAGTAAAATAATTTTGTAAACTATGGGAAAAAGCAAAATAAGTCATAATTGTTAAACTCTAATATTTCATGGTTTATTGAATTTTGAGTCTCCTTCCCCAGCATTTCCCTATTTACGACATTCCAGACTGCTGCACCCCTGTATAATACTCATCGTAAAGAGCTGGTATCTTACAAGAGCTGGATGCATTCTCCTCCCTTATAATCCCATTCCCTTTCTGGGATTAGCAATTAACAGCAATACACACTGCAGTGGACACAAGCACCTTTTAGAAGAAAGACTGTATTTCATAAAGGTTTTTGAAAATTTAAGAAGAAAAAAACACCCTCGCTTTTTAAGCATTGTTATTTTAAATTACAAAGTGGATTTTTAGAAATGTCTCTTGTAAATTATATTAACGAGCTCCTTGCTGCTCCCTGAAGTAGATGTGCTATATCCCAGCCCTTTTTGTTTGTCTTGTTTTAAAGCATGCCATATAACCTATGCCATGTAAGCTGTATGAGAGGTGGTAATATGTGCCAAATTGGTATACAGTTGAGTTTAGATTTGGATAATCTCTGAATTCCAAAGACTATGTTTTTAAGAATTAGAACATTGTAGTATTTTCCCTCTGTCTTTGCCCTGGTTTTAGGACTTGATCAGAAATTCAAGTGCAGCGCCAAGGTCGGCCCTGGTGCAAGATGTGACTCGTGACTGTCCATTTTACAGCTGCTTGCTTCCCAGGTACTTGTTTGATAAGGCAGGCTGTCAGCGTGACAGTGCTGCCAGAGAAGGAACAGCTCAGGGCAAAACCCTTCACTACAAATTCAGCATTCTCCCCACCTGGTCAAACCAGGTCTGTGCTGTGCTTTTTGAAACTGAAGTCACTTTGCCAGGCCACAAATGTAGCAAAAGCAGGGCGAGGATATGATGTGGTAAAACATCTGTCCATTTGTGTACGCAGTTCTGCACTGGTTTAGAGGTCCCGTATGGTGGTACATGGTACACCAGCCATGCTGAGAGAGTCCAAGAAAGCTGCTTTAGTTTTGCCACCTCCCTGACTCAGACACAAAGAGTAAGAGATTTTGCAACTCCTGTAAATCAGCTGTGGGATACGTTGTATTACAGGGGCTGACAGAAAGCCTGGAGTCATGTCCCAGTTCACTGCAACTCAACTTTCTTAGCACTATGGAGCCTTAGACTGCTGTTTAGGGTCTTTGCCGGTGACTGAAAGCTTCTTTCCACATGCTAAGTAGTCTCCACCGGCTGTTGACTCCATGGTAAACATTCGTTGAGGGGGCTTTGGAAAAGCTTGGTTGAACACAGGTGACTAGTGGTTTCTCATAAGTGGTAACAAGGCCTGTTAACATGTCTTCCATGTGAGAGAAGAAGATAAGAAAAAGATCATATAGAAGAAAAGGAAAAAGTTGGCTCTGCTTTATGGCCTGGCTTCAGATCTTTGCTGAAGCTGCATTTGTCTTTGCATCTAGTCCCTTGGGTGCTCTCTTTTCATAGGCTGATGCAGATGAGAAAGTCGTATTCAGCATCCTCTAGTGCTGGCTGAGCCCCAGCACGTGCAGCAGGTTGCCATGAGGCAAAACACTGAGTAACACTCTCCATCAAGCTCTCAGAGCCAGAGAAAAACAGAAGTCTGGTTTGTCCTTACAGCTGTGTCAAGGACCAGCATTTCAAATAAAATTGCTCTCACTCTGAGAATAGGGAGCAAAGGTGGGAGAGAGTTATATAATCCAGGACTTACTCGCTTTACACTTCCTACAGAAACACAGGCAACACTAGCTTTATGACAGAGCACCTCACAGCAAGAGGGGGAAGTATTTTTTTCACTCCTCAGGCATTGTCCCCAGAGGTCTAGTCCTCCCTCACCTCTGCATTTCTGCATTTTCTTAAGAAGGCTGCATTAGGCAGACCCCAGGAAAGACTGAAGAGCTTGCTTCACTCCCTCCCTCTCTTACTCCCTTTGGTCTGAGTCACTCTTCTCAGTCTGTCACAACTCTCTGGAATGGCTGCATGGTGAAGGGGCTTCAGGGCATCAAGGTCACTCCCTGCCCTGTAGCACACACATAATCCGGGCACCAGTTCCCTACAAAGGCAGAAGCAGGACTAGTATTCAGGGGTGAGAAACTTCCCAACAGAGAGACAATTTGGGTGTCCTTCAGAAGCATTTCTGTAATGTGGTCACAATGTCCGAGGAAGGGAAAGGAATTGTGAGGGGCCCTGTCGGAAAGCTGTGGGGCTGGTGTTTCCACAACAGCCAGCCCCACTGGCTCAATCTGTCCTTTTTTTTTTTTTTTTTTTTTAGGAAAGCTCATATTTTGAACATAGGAGAAGCTTGTGTCAGGAGTTTCTGTGAGGGGAATGGAGATCAGTTGTACAGTTGATGATGTACATGATGTATGCAGTTTTGTTTCTGGATTGGTTGTTTTTGTTTTCTTTTTTGTTGAGGGTTAAATGTTTTTGTTTTTTTTTTGTTTGTTTGTTTGTTCTTAAAAAAAGGTTTTAGGAATCTCTGAAGGGAACCTGTAAATCTGACACCTCTATTTATTTTGCCTTATTTTAGTTTGCTATGTTTGTATGTATACACTGCATTACAGCAAAGACTATTGAGACCGTGCCAGGGCATTACACCAGCCAGACGTCTGGCTTGGTTATTCTGCAGCAGACTGAGCTAGGTGAGGGGCTGGGTGTAAGCAGTGCTGGTGTGGTGAAGGAAGAAGGAAAACCTTTCCTTTGCCTTTCTACTTATCACTCTGCCCCTACTCATATTGAGCCTGGGAAAGCAGGTTCTAAAGCATATGGTGAACTTAAGGAGATCAGTTATTTTGGAGTACTTTTGCTTTCAAAAAAAAAAAAAAACCCACCGTTTTATTTTCTCATCATGAATCATGATGGGAAGACAGAAAAGTGATCAACTGCACAGCTGTTCACTCAGGCTTCATCCTTCGTCCCAGATTCTTGCCATGGTACCAAAGAAGCTTGGATAGATGTACAAATGTGATCCATGCCCTGTAACTTCTCAACAAAGTCAACATTTTGGTGAGACAAACAGGGACAGTCTTCTCTTCTGAGAGCTACTGTTCCCTCCTATTTCCAAACCCAAGAAATCAGGATTTCCTCTCCTTCCCCTCTTTTGTTCTTTCCCGCTCCACAAGTTTCTCTTTTGTACCCGAATATGCTGGACTGTTTTCTTATTGAAAGTTTAGGTTCTTTAGGTTTTGCTCAGTGCTGCTGCTTGTTAGTTTTAACCAATGACGATGCCAAAGGGACACTAAATTTTCATTCAGCTTCCACCCGTTAACAGGAGGATCAACAAAGTCTTTCTACCAACTGGCTTTCTACTCATAAGAGTCTGTAGCAATCCCCAGGTGTTTGGCCATTGCTTCTCAGCTTCTGGCCTGGACATGGGAGATTTCTGGTCATCTGTCATCCAGGTAGCTCCCATTGGCCACCTTAGTTTCTGTTGTCAATGGAAGGTAGACTGAAGAGGCCATCATTAACACAACTTGGTCAAGTGAAAATGTAGACTTTATATA